CACATTAATGCCACACTTGAACTTTGCTAGTAGAAACAGATTTGTTTTTAATTGCAGTATGCATAGCAAGGATAATTGGAAATGGCTGGGAGTAGAGGAAGAGATTATACTGAAAAAGCAGATAACTCCTACTCCTGCTGTGTCATCGCCTATGCAAATGTTTCTCTGTGTCAGAATTAGACATTCTGTATTTGCCACATTGGGTTCCACTATCAGATACTGATTTTTTTTAAAAAATGATGCTTGTTCCCAAAGATGCCAGCTGTATAATACAGATAGTTCTTGACTTATGACCACAATTGAACCCAGAATTTATGTAGCTAAGTGAGAAGTTTCTTAAGTTGAGTTTTGCCCCATTTTACGACTTTTCTTGCCACATTTGTCAAGTGAATCACTGCAGTTGTTAAATTAGTAACAGAGTTATTAAGTGAATCTGTCTTCCCCATTGACTTTGCTTTTCCGAAGGTCGCAAAAGGTGATCACATGACCCGAGACCGTCATAAATATGAACCAGTTGCCAAGTGTCTGAATGTAAACCACATCATGGCCATGGTGATGCTGCAGCAGTCATGACTATGAAGAACGGTCATAAGTCACTTTTTTCAGTGTCTGTTGTAACTTCGAACAGTCACTAAATGAACTGTTGTAAATCAAGAACTACCTGTAGATAGTTCATTTCATCAAAATTTGAATGTTCATCATCTTGTCATATGATTTTTTTTTCAGTTTTAAATAAACATCTCTCATCTAGCCTTTTAATGGAACACAACAGTTTGAATGTTGCTTCCCAGCCTAAGACTAATGCAATTAAACAGAGTTGCTGATTTCCATGTGTCTCATTGTTACGAAATATAATCCTCTGTTTATTTATAGCATGTTTTCAAAAATAGACTAACAAATCAAATGAAATAAGTTTACCCAACATACTGGTAGCTATTTATTTCTTCTAATAAAAATTACAAAACCATTGAAATGATTATATAGGGTTACAAATATTGCACAGTATCTTGACAAAGTATCTTGGTAAGAAGTATTTGTATGCAATTGATCTGGGATTAATTAGTAAGGTGATCTTCTGTACTAGCACAAAAGCAAACCACTGTATTAGCCTTAAATTACAGAGTACAGATAATTTATAGCTTTAGAATTTTTTTTCTTGGTTACTCCAGATACTGAATTATATCAACATTTGCCCTGGTGATTTGCACAATATACAGCAAAGGAAGTTAACCTGGCTTAGAGTTCTGAAGTTTTGAGCTTTATATTCCACAACTTTTGTTCTCAGTTGTATTTTCTAAGAGCGCTATATTGTTTTCCTTTTTGAGAGGAAGTAGTCAACTTGGGTGAATCTCCCTGTATTTTCAGCTGCAGTCATTTTTATTGGCTGTCTTTCAGATGATTGCTGCAGCCTGTGTATTAGTTGAAGTAAGAAACTTTGATTGATTCTGTACTGTCCGTAAACTATTCAGATTCACTGAATGCTGTCTCTGATTGGTAAAGTTCCATGCTGCTGTAAAAATTTGCCTACTTTTCATCCTTATAGATGATTATGCACAGTTACGTTACCTAATTTCATCATTTCAAAGTTTATGAAATAAAGATTCATAGTCGATGCTGATTCAAAAATATGTATTTCATTGTATTAGCTCAGCCAGCCACAATTGGACTATCACACTTTTGGAAATGCTGTCTTTTAAAAAAATTGAGACAGTTGGTTATCAATTTGGCAGACACCTAAACTCCAGGGGTTTCACTAATTCATGAAGCTACATTGGGCTTTCTCTTGCAAAACTACAGCAGTCACTCACGTTGCCTTCTGAACCTTACACTTCTATACTGCGGGAAGCTACAACCAATATTTATTGTGGTTAAAATGTTCTACATAAATGCGGGGCATCTGAATTGATTCATCCTGATGAACTTGGATAGTATAGAAAAGTGGGCAAAACAAGAGATTATTTATGACTACTTGGATATGAAGACAGGCAACCAAAGCTTTGTTGTAAATGGCCTGTAGTAAATCCAGATGAGAGGCAAGTGGTATTTCACCTACTCCAGCAACATGATTCTAATGTTGCCTTTTCCAGTCATGTCCATAACTTTCTCTTCTTTTGACTGTGGAGTGGATCAGTAAAAGGATAGTATAATAATAGCCCTCACATATTGGGCAATCAATTATAGCAACATTTGGTCTCCAGCAGTCAAACAGATCCTTCTAGGCAGCCAATAAGGTTTCCCCTGTCCAGTTATATCTGACACCAGGACACGGTGCTCATCTCTGTTTTTTGGCCAAGAGAGAGCCAGCATTGTCCGAAGATGCTGGCCATGGTCATGCAGCCAAAATGGCTATATGCAATAGGTGCACAAATGCTGTTACCTTCCCACCAAAGTGGTACCTATTAATCTACTAGCATTTGCATGCTTTCAAACTGCTAGGTTGGCAGGAACTGGGACAAGTAATGGGAGCTAACCCGTTGCATGGCACATGGGGTCTCGAACCCTGGGCTGTCAGTTTTCCAGTTGACAAACTCAGCATCTTTAACTGCTGAGCCATCGTGGTCCCCAATGCTGCTATATCTAATTTAATAGATATTTCACTGGGAAGCATGAGGTGGCGAGAGAGAGAGACAGAGACAAACCTAATCACCTCTATTTAATTTTTTCCAATATATTAGATTGGAAATAATAAAAAGACCTGAATATTTTGATGCTTCTTCCTAAGAAGTATCAAAATCCTCATTTCATATTTTCTAATTCCATGCTGTCATTTTTGGGATGGGATAACCAGAACTTTGAGTGATGGGGTAACCTCAGTTATGATACAGAGTGATACTATTGGATGATTGGAATCAAAGAAGACCAAAAAAATCCTTTGTTAAAGTTGAAAGAGATTATGAAAACCAATCTGTTGCTCAGAGTTTTTTTTTTTTTTAAACCCTCAGATTACGTAAACAGGCAAAGCTAGCCTAGTGAAAATACGGAAGATAGAAAGGAAACTGAATAAATCTAGCCTTCCTGAATTACAAAATTCACATGGATGGTGACCGTGGCAATAAAATAAAGAGAAATCCATTACTTAAGAGAAGTGCTATGATGAAGCTGAATGAAATATTGAAGTCAAAAGACATCACAATTGCAACAAAAATTACACATTTTCAACAATAATGTTTTCCCACTTTACCATGTGGTTGTCAAAGCTGGAGCATCAGAAAGCCCAAACAAAGAAAAATTGATTCCTTTCAATTTGAGATGCTGGAGGAAATAGTTGAGAATACTGTGAAGAACAAATAATTCAATATAAGATGAAGTAAACTTGAGTATTCACTCAAGTATTCACTGGAAGAACTAAACTAAAATGAAACTGAAATAACTTGGATGCCTAATGTGAAGGCAAAAATCATAGGAAAAGACCCTAATAATTGGAAATAATCAAAAGCAATTAGAAAAGAGGCAAGCAAAAGACAAAATAGTTAGATACAATCATGGATGGAATAAATGTGAACTGATAGAATTCAAAGAAGCAGTTATTGACCAAAAAAGTTTTCCTTTGGATAACCAAGAATTGGAAGCTACAGAAGGACTTGAACATCAAAAACAGCAAAGCTGTTTCCGAAGATCACTATTATTCTATACACCATTATATGTACTTCAGTTTTATAAAACCCTGAAAAGGATATAGGTTTTAAAAACAGATTTTGACTGTAGTACCGTGTTTCCCCGAAAACAAGACCCTGTCTTATATTTTTTTGAATCCCAAAATAAGCGCTTGGCCTTATTTTCAGGGAGGTCTTATTATTTTGGGGCGCATGGAGCAAGATGGGTCTCCTCTTGCCATCTTACCTGATTTCCAGCTCTGCATTTAAATATTTTTGGGGAGGGCTTATTTTCCGGGGGGGGGGTATTTTAGCACATGTGCTCAAAAGCCCGATTGGTCTTATTATCAGGGGATGTCTTATTTTTGGAGAAACGGGGTATATACATTTTTAAATTTCAAAAAAATATTTTCAGTCCATTAACTAGAATAGTAACATGATCTAGTAATAACAGATCCCACCTCCACTGCACCCCATCCCTGCCCACCCCACATGTCATTAGATTTTAATGTTTAGTTTTAATTTATGTTTTAATGTACTGTATAAATGCGGTACATGTTTATGGCTGTAAGCCACCCAGAGTTACCCTGAGGCAAGAGGAGCGGCCAATAAATTTTATGAATGAATGAATGGATGAATGAGCAAGCATGAATTTACTTTCCTTCTCCCCAGTTCAGATCTTCTTTACTCCTATACTCTGCTTTTTTTTTCACATTATATAAATCTTTACCCTGTGTATTGTGCTGTCTACTGGTACCATAATATGATTCTTTTCATGTTGCCATCCCTCTGTGTGTGTGGGTGCGTGTGTGCACATCATTTCCTTATACATTTTCTTTACTATATTCTTATTATTTTTTTCTTCTTCTCTGTACCTTTTATTTTTGGTTCTTTTTTGTGTAGTAGTTTTTATTGTAATTTTAAAAAAATATAGATAAGCATTATGTACAGCTCTTTTTTGTTTGTGAAACACAGCATTTACTATTGGGGAGGTTTTTGTTTTTGCTTTCATTACTGAAAAGAAGTAATGTGCATGTCTGCTTAATGTAACAGGGTATTGGGATTGAAATGCATGAAATCTTTTGTAGGTTGCAACACTGTTTATTCTTACCTTACAATAGCATTATTTAAATTGAATTTATTGTAACTTTGAACAAGACATTGTACAGTACAGAGTTGATTTACGAGGAAGAGAAATTAATTTGTGCTGCGTTCTGCATACAAGCAATACAAAGGACAGAACATTTAGAACTACCTATATCTTTTTTTTTCTTCGCAAATTTTATTTTCTCTATATAAAATAGGAAAAACGTGAACTACACTCATAAGCATTAGCTAAATCTTCCATGTGTATTTATTTTTAAAGCATTTTTTTAAGTTAATTTATGTGTGTATTTGTTTGTTTAGAGAATTTGGTGGGAAACAGCCAGAATGACAACTTTGGATTCTCAGGTCTTCTGTCTGCAGAGCAGTGACAGCAGAGGCTGAAAGGTAAGGAATTAATTCAACAATATATTCTTATTTAAAGACATGCAAAATTTTACTTGCAAAAGTTTTTATTGGTTTACAGTTAATTTAAGGCAATGCATATGTACATGCATTTGCCAGGAGTCACTAATTAAGTAATTACTTATCAAATTTAGATACTGCCCATCTCACTCTCAGAGTTACTCTGGCCAGTTCATAGCTAAAAGCATAAAACTCAGATAAAATAAAATACGTCACTCAAATGGGAGCTGGGTAAAAAAAAAAATTGAATAAGTTAAAAGTTTAAAAAGACAGGGGGATGGGGGTGGGGGCACCTTCAAGGTACTTACCACAACCCCAAGTGTTACATGCCACTCTGTGAGCCCCACATGAGTTGGCAGAGCAAATGATTCAGTTAACCAGTTGTTCCTCACCTACATGTGCCAGCCATTCTCTCTCACAGAGAACAAAGAACATATATACATACATACAGGTAGTCCTCAACTTATGACCACAATTGAACCAAAAATTTATGTTGCTAAGTGAGACATTTGTTAATCTAAGGGAGGCCACATGGTTAATGAGGTTGAGAGGCAAAAGTGAAGACAGACTAGTGAATGAGAACAAGGTAGTCCTTGATTTATGACTACAATTGAGCCCAAAATTTCCATTGCTAAGTGACACAGTTGTTAAGTGAGTTTTGCCCCTTTTGATGACTTTTCTTTTCAAAGTTGTTAAGTGAATCATTGCAGTTGTTAAGTTAGTAACACAGATATTAAGTGAATCTAGCTTCCCCATTGACTGCTTGGCAGAAGGTCGCAAAAGGGGATCACATGACCACGAGACGGTCACAAATACATGCCAAGTGTCCAGATTTGGATCATGTAACCTTGGGGATGGTGCAGCAGTTGCAAGCATGAAAAATGATGATAGGTCACTTTTTTCAGTGCCATTATAACTTTAGTCACTAAATGGATGGTTATAGGTCAAGGACTACCTGTATCCATCCAGCATATTATTTTCCTTCTTTCTGCCAAACAGTGAAGAGAGATATTATTCCTTACCAGAAATCTAATCTGTTGCAGAGGAACTTTGAAATTAAACTTAGACCTGCTTTTGGCATTCAGAGAATACTACAGGTTGAGCCTCTCTAAATGTCACCAAGGAATCCTGATTAGCAATATTGGTCAAAACAAGTGTAGAAATTATTATTAATTTAATACTTTTGATGAGTGGGTAGTTAATTGGAAGAACAATGTTTTCTTTTAGATTCTTTTGGCAAGTGGAGGAAAAGCCTACTTACGTAATTATTTTTATTTGGTTGTCTCACGTCTACACATTTCTTAAACTTTTTCTGCATGTGATATTATAACAATTGTTTCTGAATATGTTGCTTGAAAATAATTGTAACTGATGAACAAGGAATGGTTGCAATTGGCAGAGAAGACAAAGGCTCCCCTGGCCACTTGCTCTTGTAAGCAGGAGCTGTGAGTCTAAGAGGAACCCTGAACTGTGCACCAGACCTGTATGGTGGTGTGTTATCTACCCAGAGTATGGGTAGATAAGTATGTTAATTCTGAGTATGTTAATTCTCCTGACCTCAAGGGCCCCAAAACTAGAACCACTCCATCTTGCTAGGGTTGATTTGCAGCTGGTTTAGCACTGAGCCAGCACCCAAATGGCATAAATTGGCCTAACATGGGGTAGAGATGTGTAATTGGGTATCATCAGCATATGGATGACACCAAACCCCATGCCATCAAATGACCTCTCCAAACAGCTTCTTGTAGATGTTAAATAGAGGAGAAATAACCAAGCCCTAAGGCACCCTGGTCTTGGGGTCTTGAACTTGTCTTCCCCTTCAGCACTGACTGATAATGGCCACGGAGAAAGGAGAACCACTGTAAAACAGTGCCTCCCACTTCCAGTTCCTGGAGCTGGTGCACCAAGGTACCATGGTCAATAGTATCAAAAGCTACTGAGAAATCAAAATATTCTAATTTATCTCTGGCTTTTTTGTTCTCCCAACCCATGATTTTCTGCACCCACAGAGTAGTTACATTGGACTCCTTTTTCATGATATCATCATAAGATTCTTCTATTTTTACAAATCTTGGGTTCTCTCAGCTTAAAAATACCTCTCTGTTTGTTTGTCTGTAGCTCCATTTTAACTACATTACCACTGTGACCAGATACCTGAAGTTAGATTTTGGGACTATTTACTAACTCAATTCAAGTTGCAGTTGTAGCTTTATTATTGGCTTTAATTCTTCCATTCCACTTGCTTTATACAACTGAGTTGTGACTTTTACAGCTCTTTTTTCTTTTGAAGGTGCTTCAGAAGACTTGACTGAATATAGAGCAACTATATCCACTTTATATTTTTATGTCCTTTTTTTGTGTTGGGCAAAATGGTATGCAAATATTCCCAGATTGAAATCATGGCATTTTAAAGCAAAGATAAAAAAACAACTCTGCCTGAAGTTTGGAATCTTTTTGCCAGTGACAATAAAGTTCCTTAATAAAGTTTGTTGTGGTTAGTTTGACAATATAATCCAGGAATAGCTTAGACAGGAACATGTTGCACTGAAGACAAAAAAAAAAAAAAAAAAAAAAAAAACCCAAATGTCTATGCTCTTGTCTATGTAAATGAAGATTTTCTTCTCAATACAACATGCTGGCATTGCTAGAAGTAAACAGAGAATGTCACGCCTTTTTCCACAGAACAAAACAAGATTGTCTTTACATTTTTAGGCTGTACTGTGATAGCTTAACATCAACTACAGAATGAAGTTAAATAAACCAATAATTTTTACACTAGTAATTAACAACCTGTGAATAGTTAAAATAAAAAGAAATCTAAAAACCTTAATAACGTTAGTAATATTTATGTAATGCATATAGTTCATTTTCTCACAACCCCCCCCCCACCAGATACATATCTTTGCAAACAATCTATAGCAGAAGTGTCAAACTAGATTTCATTGAGGGGCGTATCAGGGCTGTGTTTGACGTCGAGGGGCCGGAGTGGACGTGGCCAGGGGATGTGGCCAGTTCAACATCACTTGTGTCATGGGGCACCAGAGAAAACGGGCTCCTGAGCTTCATTTTCAGCTGCAATTGCTTCCTGCAATCCTCTACCAGCAAAAACGGAGCTTCAGAGGGCTGCAGGCACCACGGGACAGTTCTTCCCTATTTCCAGGGTGACCCCGCGGGCCAGATTGAAGCACTCCGCAGGCAGGATCCGGCCCCCGGGCCTTGAGTTTGACACCCCTGACCTATAGCTTACCAGTCGATAGGAGAAAATATTGTGTTGAAAGTACTATGTTGAAAACAGCGCAACCTGTGTTGTCTAGCATTACCTTGTACACCATACAATTCTGCTTTGGGGACCAATCAAAACAGCTTACAAAATATAGAATGTAAGAAAGTAGATTAAGAATATTTTAAAATTTTAGTATTTTAAAAATACTAAAATGCTAGCAAACTTTTTAAAAAGCAGCAAGCTTATCTATAGGGCAGACAAGCACGTTATAAAAACATGCTATCTTATATTCACTTTAACCCTGGTGGCATTCATAATTCTCATGCACTGTCTACATCACTATTTTAGACAGATGTGTGAATTTTATTGCATTGATTGTCACACTTTGAAAAGACCGTATGCTCAGTTTTAAGATTTTGAGGCCTCTGTTTTGAACCATTCTGTTGCTGTGTTTTCAACAGGTATACGGAATAACTTAGTTACCGACAGATTGATGATGGGGTGGGGTTGGATGAGGCATTTATTGATTTGTTATCCCATGATCTGGAAAGAAGAGTCCCTTTCTGTGAAACAAATAGGTGGTTTAAAAATGTAATAAAAAATAAATAAAAATAAATAAAAATACTTGGATCAATTTCCAGTTTTTATATCAGATGAGAGTTGTGTATCAATCCAAATTATTTAATGGGTGGTTGTAGCTTCCATTGTTCACTTCTCTTTCTTCTAAAAGACCAAGGTTTTCTCCTATTTTTTCCCCTATTCTGCTTCCCCAATGCTCCTGGCAAGAGAATCTAGGCTAAAATTAATTTCTGCTTACAAATTGCCAAAATGAGAAGCTATGAAAATAGGGAAATGAATAAATTAGAATTTCTTCAAATGAATATCTGACAAACTCATGGGTCCAGGACTTTTTGTTCTGGTTGTAGGTTTCCAGTCCTCATGCGGTTAGCTCCCAAGGAAACTGAATGGAATAGGTGATAGTACTGTAGAACTTTTTAATGGTTACACATGAATATGGAATAGATTCATGTGATGAAATTACAAAAACAATATATTTATTGACTTTTAAGCACCACTCCACCCTATTGTAAAAATAGAGGTAAGTGGGGAGAGTCAATATTCAAATTATAAAATGTAGAAACTTGTCAGCAATGATCAAGAGAATGGGGAGGTTTTCTTTTTCTTTTTGATAAATTTAGAGACATTTCAAAAATTCTGTTTTCACTTGTCATTATAGGGTACAGAGTGTAGATTAATGAGGAAAAAAGATGAATTTCAATAGCTGTAGAATCAGGCTGCAGCATAACAAAATGGACAAAAGTGAAGGGGGTCTGAATACTTTCTAAATGCACTGTACATCCTCCTAGATTTGCCCTGCTCTGTGGCATAATAGGCATGCTGCTTCTGAACTTTACATAGCTCTTCATGAAATATTATCCAAAAATGTCCCCATTACCAGCTCACTCATGTGCTGTATGTGTTTTTCCCTTAGGTTGCTTTCCTGCTGAAGCCCTAGGTGAGTTTGCACTTCCACAAAGCTCTGGGTCCAACCTCTGAGACCAGGAGAGACTTAAAATTCTGAAATGAAGATGGAGGCAGCAGACAGAACAGAAGAACTCATTGACCCAGAAGTCCCACCCAAACTGTCAGAGAAACAGGAGCCTGCTCTGGGTGAAGACGGATCTATAGAACTGGATATGCCTGCTCAGAAAGAGAACCGAGCACTGGGGGAGGATTCGGCAGTCCTCGCCTCGATGCCCTGCTTGCTGATGGAACTGAGACGGGACTCCTCCGAATCTCAGCTGGCCTCGACGGAAAGCGACAAGCCGACGGCCGGCCGCATTTATGAGAGTGACTCTTCCAACCATTGCATGCTGTCCCCTTCATCCAGCGGCCATTTGGCTGATTCCGACACGCTCTCCTCCGCAGAAGAGAACGCTCCCGGCCAACCTGAGACGGCGGTCGAGGGAGACTCTTCCACCGTGTCCGTGTCGACCGTGGGGAGGAAATCGAGGCGGTCCAGATCGGAGAGCGAAACCTCGACAATGGCTGCAAAGAAAAACCGGCAATCGAGTGACAAGCAGAACGGCCGCGTCGCTAAGGTCAAAGGTCACCGGAGCCAAAAGCACAAAGAGCGCATCCGGCTACTGAGGCAGAAGCGGGAGGCCGCCGCCCGCAAGAAGTATAACCTGCTGCAGGACAGCAGTACCAGCGATAGTGACCTAACCTGTGACTCGAGCACGAGCTCGTCGGACGACGACGACGAAGTTTCAGGGAGCAGCAAGACAATCACTGCGGAGATACCAGGTAGAGGATGTTTTTTAAACTGAACTGGCAAAAAAAAAAAAAAAAAAAAAAAAGGCCCCCTCCATTGTTTCTCAGCTGTCGGGCTAAATTTAGAAAGGAAGGAGCAAAAAAAAAAAGTAAATAATTCGCTAGGAGAACCAGAGCTCTGTATAAATACGAGGGGCTGCAATGTATTTTAAAACGTGACATGTTTTCAAGGCGGGTAAGGAGGGTTTCTCAGTGCTCTTATTTGCACGATAGTTCACCTTAAATAATAATAATCCAGACAAATCGTGATACTGTTGAGTTGTCCATTATTCCCCCCTCCCCCCTTTCTCCTGCCAGTTGGCATTAGTGCACCTTAGATTGTAATCTTTAAAAACAGTCTACTTTGCTGCTATTTCATTCTGAATGGGCTGTTGTTTTAAAGTGCTGCAGCTGCTCCTCTCTCTGCATCTGAAATTTCAGGAGGCATCTTACTGCTTCTACGACAAGCCCTCCTCCCTTGTTAATGTTGCACTTTCTAGCTCCGTTTCAATGCATGATAAGCTGGTTCAGCTTTGCTGCAAAGTTTTCCAATAACAGGCAACTCGGTTATTTCAGAACCCTTGTAAGGAACACTTTGCACACAGGTTGCAAATGGGTGTCTCCCCCATGCTATCCCACAGTTTCAGAAGAGAGCTAACATGCTCCACTGTGCGGATTGCACAATTATCAATACTATTTCCCCCAGCCCCACCGCCCCGCTGCATCTAAATTGAGAAGAAAAATATTTTGGCTGCTCTCATAAAATAACAGAAGGTGTGTTATTTAAAAAAAAGACTGTTAAGGCCTACATTATTCCTCTAGCTGAAATAGCATGATCAGGAATATGTATCAAACTACTCGGCATATGGTATTCAAACATAATTGCATTTATAGCAACCTTAAAATAAAATACTGTTTAAAAATCCTTTGGTTTGCTAATCTTTTATGGGTGAACACACATCTCTTTTACACAAAAGGAAGTGAGTTTTGTAATTGCAGTTGGTGTTCTAAGTAAATCTGCTTCTATGCTGTGCAGGATGGCTTGGAAGGCTACAATGCTGAGCTCAGAACACGGCCCTTCAGTGTTCTTTCTAGCACGTGTGATGGATTCTGCCTTTGCACAATACATGGAGGTTTGCATTTGTGCTCAGGTTGCGTATTGCAGACACTGTAGCCCTCCAATCTCTATTTTAATTTGAATCTCATGAAGGCTCTCCAAAGCATTTGAAATTAATGAAAGTTGTCACAGCTGTGTGAAGTGGATGCTTTGGACATCACATTTATTTTAAAACAATACTTAATCCTGCAGGTTTCTTTTGAAATGGTTATTTATTTGATGACAGACTATACACAAGTATTTACTGTTGTCTTGATTAGATCAGACTAGCAAAAGCTACACATAGTGTATCTCTTGCTGGGCTTTACTATTTCAGATTGTAAATCATGTGCTTCTCCACATAAACTGTTGGTAATGCAACCAGTGGGGTACAGTCTCAGATGTTACATCCCCATCACAATTTTATTTTATTTTATTTTATTTCGAATTTATATACCGCACCTTCTCCCGAGGGACTCAGGGCGGTGTACAGCCAGCTAAATAAAATTCAATATGACTTTTGCTGGACTGATTTTGTTTGAACATAATTCAGTGCAGCCTTCATTCAAATTGCAGGTCAGGCTAGCTAATTTTCTTTTTTGGCTATGTGCAAATGTTGGCTATGGGAAAATAAATTATGTGCATCAGAAAATTATGAATAGGAACAGATAAATTTTTTGCCACTGAATAAGGGATTCTATTCGAACCTGTTTATAAGACAAAATCTGTATTCATTTGTTCATTTTTAATAAGTGTATGAACCAGACATCCAAACCTCTTCAGAGTAATATTCTGATATATAAAACTACATATAATTCTGTACTATTTATCTTAGTTGATTGAACCTTAGCAAATCTACTTAGTGTAGATTTTCCTCATTGGCAGATCCAGAAATAGTCCCCTTGGCATTTAAAAAAAAATTTCTTATGCATGAAAGTTACAGGTGTAGCTATGATGTTCTTAGAAGTGTAAATCTATTATGGGGAATTTTTTTGCTATACAACAAATAGGGTTAGGTTAAAATAGACTGTAAAGCTAAACAAATGTTAGTGAGCAGGCAATTGGAAGAAACATGTCGCTGCATCTTAATTCTATATTTTACATACTATATTTTTAGCATATGAAGAGATTTCACTTCACTTGATTGAGCAGGCTGCTGCCAGTGAGGGAAATGAAATTGGAAAAATAAAGTGCAAAAGTACATAATCTATACCTATTCGTTTACATTTTTGCCTATAAATAGGAAAAAAATCCCCTCCTAAAGTAATCCTGATTAGACTACATTTGAAAAAATATATAAAACATTTATGATGCTAATATTTTATCTTCTGTTGAGGTATGTATATATAATAACACATATTTTTAAGGATAAATAAGTTTGAGTTTTGACAGTTAAAACATGCACAACAGTGTTAATAAGAATTAGTATGAATTGCTTTCATTGTGCAGTGTTTATTAGTTGGTAGGAATTAGGATTGATAGCTTATACTGCCATTGGTACAAATAGAGAAATGAGTCTACAACAATTCAGTTTTAAATAAAATTACATTTTAAATGATAGAAGCGTTTAGCAACCAGAAATGGCCAGAATTCAATGCTGTCATTTGGAAGTACCACAGCCTTGCTCAGAAACATGGACATCTGCCAAGAGGATGCTAGGTGTGTGTGCATAATGACAACATATGCTTCTTTTACCGTTGTATAAATGCCACAGTGTTTGTCATCTGATGCCAGTACCGATCGTGGCATTTGGGTGATGACTTCATTGCACTCACATAATCATTTTGGCATCATCTCAATTTGTGTCATAGCTCAGGAGGGTTGATAGACCTGGACTTGATCTGTAGTGCAGGGAAGATGGTAACAGTATTGACAAGTTGCATAATGTTTACCTTTCTAGGTCCAAGTGACAGGGAGAAACCTTCCACCATCTTTGCTGTCAATTGGAATACAGGTAGTCCTTGACTTACAACATTTATTTACAGTAGCACCCGCTCGAAATTACAACAGCACTGAAAAAGGGGACTTATGACCATTTTTCCCACTTATGACTGTTGTAGCATCCCCATGGTCATGCAATCAAAATTCAGAAGCTTGGCAACTGACTTTATGACGGTTGCAGTGTCCCGGGGTCATATGATCCCTTTTTGTGATCTTCTGACAAGCGAAGTCAATGGGGAAGCCAGATTCACTTAACAACCAGGTTACTAACTTAATAACTGCAGTGATTCACTTAACCGTGGCAAAAAGGTTGTAAGATGGGGCAAAACTCACTTAACTGTCTCGCTTAGCAATAGAAATTTTGGACTTAATTGTGGTTGTAAGTTGAGGACTACCTGTAATAGCAAGCTGACCAGAAGATGGACTTCAGGCTTCTGTCTCCGACTTTAAGATGAGAAGATAAGAGGAAGCAGGGAGCATTTATTTTTTTTGTACATGCTAGCAGAACTGAGGGATTAGCGCCGTGGCAGACAATGAAATAAGGAAATTCTGCATATTTCTTTTATCTTGAATGAAGAAAGGAGAGGAGGTAGAGGCTTATACCTGAGATGTAGTTAGAACTTGCTGACTGATGGACATCAGTCATGCCTTCGCTGTCCTTTGATGGCTCTCAACAGGAAAGGGAGGTCGGAGGCAGGTGCTAAAACATTGCTTTTTCAGTGGGGGCAAAGAGATTGTTTTGTTTTCTACAAATTTTTTCTTGATGACCTAAGTCATACAAAAGTGTTACATTATCTTTTTAAGAAGTGTTCCTTTTGTAGACTGAAGTCTTGTAGTTTTGCGGTTGGGATAAATGTAGAATTTCCTCAGCTGTGTCTTTGCAGAGAAATTCAGTGTTGATGTTTTTGTAGTTTCTATTGCCTGAATACAGCAGTAAGGCTGTGCTTTTGAATTCAGAACAGAATATGATTTTATTTTTATTTTATTTCAAATTTATATACCGCACCTTCTCCCAAAGGACTCAGGGCGGTGTACAGCCATATAAAAACATACAATACAAACATTAAGAACAATTAAAAGAATATATATTAATTTGGCCCCAGTTTAAAATGACAAACCAATTAAAAATTTTAAAATATGTTAAGCCAGCCCGGCTTGATGAAAAAAGAAAGTTTTAAGGGCACGGCGGAAGGCACCGAGGTCTTAGATTCTCCTTATTTCAGGGGGCAGCTGGTTCCATAGGGTAGGTGCCCCCACAGAGAAGGCCCTCCCCTGGGGGTCACCAGCCTACATTGTTTGGCTGATGACACCCCGAGGAGGCCCTCTCTGTGGGAGCGCACGGGTCGATGGGAGGTTGTCGGTAGCAGCAGGCGGTCTTGAAAATAACTAGGTCCTATGCCATGGAGCGCTTTAAAGATGGTAACCAACACTTTGAAGTGCAACCGGAAGACCACTGGGAGCCAGTGCAGCTCGCACAGGAGCAGTGTTATGTGGGAGCGCCATGCAGCTCCCGTAATTACCCGCGCGGCCGCATTCTGGACCAGTTGGAGCCTCTAGGTGCTCTTCAAGGGGAGCCCCATGTAGAGAGCGTTGCAGTAGTCCAGGCGAGAGGTGACGAGGGCATGAGTGACTGTGCACAGGGAATCCCGATCAAGAAAGGTTCGCAACTGGCGAATCAGGCGAACCTGACAAAAGGTCCCCCTGGCTACAGCCGTCAGATGTTCCTCCAAGGACAGCTGCGTATCCAGGAGGACTCCCAGATTGCGCGCCCTCTCCAAGGGGGCCAAAGACTCGTCCCCAATAGTCAGCGATGGAGTCAGCTGACTATATCGGGATGCCGGGAACCACAGCCACTCAGTCTTGGAAGGGTTGAGCTTGAGCCTGTTCCTCCCCATCCAGATGGGGATTGATCCAGATGGGGATGATCTGGATTGTTCATAATTTTCTCTGAAATATGTATCATGGTTTCAGGAGCCATCTGAAAAGTTTACCAGATGCTCCTGGTTATTCTTAGTTCCCCATGCATCCTGGTTCATGAGCAGTTTTCCAGATATGGTTGGACTATAGTTTCATTAACGGTAAATAATAGTTTGCTAGTTTGTCTTTGGGGAGTTATATAAAAACCCGTGGGGGGCTATAGATTACAAAATACAAAAAACCTTGGAGGTCTTCTAGTCCAACCCCCTGCTCAGGCAAGAAAGCCTATACCAGTGGCTCCCAGTCTTTTGGGCATCAAGAACTGGTTCTCTGGAGAGAGGTTTTTCCGTGGATCGGAGGGGGCATGGTTTCGTGTGCTGTGTGCATGCCGTGAATGGGACTTTGCGTGGCTGGCCCGGTTTCTGGCATGCACGGACCAGGGGTTGGGGACCCCATTCCATTTCAAAAAATGGTTGTCCAATGACTTATTAAAAACTCCACTGATGGAGCACCCACAACTTCTGAAGGCAAGTTGTTCCACTGATTAATTGTTCTAACTGTCAGGAAATTTCTCCTTAGTTCTAGATTGGCTCTCTCCAATCTAGGTTAAGGGACATTAGTCTGAATTTGTGCAAAAATAACATTTTCTTTAACATCTCAACTCTTGTCTGATTTCCTAGCTGCTTTCATGAAATTTTTTATTGGTAACAGTAGAAAAATGATTTGTCATTGCCTTTTACCAAGTTATTTTTTATTTTCCAATCTATTCTACATCCTGGGATTTCTCCGTAGTCTCCTATTATTAATTTTTCATTGTTATTAGTGAAGTCTTTGGCTTTTGTTTGACAAGACCAAAGTTGACTAGATGCTGTATTTGGTATGACTTTAGTCCTACATAGGCCTATCTTTACAACTGTACACTGCATTAATTTATTCTTGCCTTCCATTATGCTTTTTTGACTCCTACTTTAGCCTACTACCCTATATTTTCAGGTTGCCTTCCATCCAAGTCCGGATTAGGCCCTGTTTAGCTTCTGAGTCAGACAAGTCAGCCAAATACAGTTATTTGCTGATTACCTGGATGCTAAATCTATATGCCTATATCTTGCCCATTTATTTGATAAAGTTCCCTTTATATTAAATGATATATTGCTATTTGGAGAAAAAAAAAACACCAAAAAGTTAATCTAAAGAATCCAATTCTTCAGTCTCTGTGATTTTCTGGTACATTCCCATAGGCATCAGTTTAATAGACCAATATACTATATATTTGCTTTAACATCTGCAGAAGGCTGTAGCAAACTCAACTGTAGATTTATGTGGAAAAACACATTCCTCTGCCTTCACTATCATGGTTTTATTTTATAATAGGGAAGATTAGATTTTTAATGTCTCTAAAACAAAAATGTTAGCTGTTACCATCTCAGATAAAATATGCAGATGGTATGCATATGAAACCCACACCAAAAGAATCCTGGAAAATAATTTATAATCACTGGAAATAATTAGTGTATTTCCATTTTTTCTTCATTGTTCACTGTCTGTGTTCCTCCTAATTTTTTTCTATACCCATGTTTATCTACTCTGTCCTTAGTCATTTTATTCCCTGACAAAATACCAAAAATTTTGGCAATGCTCTAAATATTACCAGAATACAAATTGAAAATTAAATTTGTTTACATTTCTATGAGTATGATATTAGAAAGTTGCATCAGACTTAGTTTTATTTAAAATCTTGATTTCAGTGTGCATATTCTAATTGTGCCTTAAGTCTGGACTTTTCCAAAGTGTTTCTTTGGGAATATCTAGAATTGCGTAATTGTTAATTTGTGTGACAGAATAGTAACTGCCCATAGGAGCAGTTTCTTTTTTGCAATAAAGTCCACAGAGTAGGTCTCCAAGGTTTGGGATTTAAATTTGTTTTCCCAGCAGAGTGGTGATGGCTACCAAATTAGAAGTTTTTAAAAGGTAATTAAACAATTTAACAGACGATATCAAAGGCTACTAGTCATGATGACATACTTGCTGGGAAACATAATTGAAAGGATAATTTCATGTCTTCATCATAAGTTGTGAAGGGATATCTGAGAGCATTGTTGGGAACAGAATGCAGGACTGGATGGGTTTTTGGTCTGATTGTCTTATTTTCTTTTTAAAGCAGCGTAATTAAAGTTGGTTTGACATAATTAGTTGTGTACTGCTTCCCCCGATGGATAGCTAAGCCTCTTTTAAATTTTAGAGGCCTAGAGAATGACAGTAACCATAAGACGAACAGAACTGTCATGTTTATGGGTAATATGTTGAGGTACAGCCCGGAATGGCTTGTCACCTTCAAATCTTACTAACTCCCAAAGATATTCACCAATGGATTAATGGAAGTGAAATGCTGAACTGCTCTGATCTGCTTTGGGAGGGCTACTTTATGTTAAGAATAACATGCGTACAGCCTAGATTTGAGGTTGTTTTTTAATTTTAATTTTATTTTTTTTGCTTTCTGCAACGGCTTAAACTGCATATGGGAATTGTGTTAATTTTACTTTCTGAAAATAATTTCAAAAAGTCAAAAAGGTTCTCCTTAATTTGCGGGTGGTTTATGAACGCAGACACAGTGCTCCTCCGGGACGGTGTCTCTCGGTCAGTTAGAGCAAGCGTGTAGCTCGTTCGTCCCATACTCGCATGCCTTAAATGTGTGGATGTGATTATCTTCCTTTAATGATATCTGATGCCATGGCCTCAATGTCTTTCAAGCTGGCTTCAGTCGTGCTGGGGGATCTGGAGGAGCGACCAGGGAAATTCCAGGATTGCTTGACAGGGGCACCGTGTGGGATAGGAACTGCATAGGCAGTGTCCTAGAAGAGGCCATGAACTGCTTTGCCGAGATGCAGAGGCAGACAGAGGAGAAGTTTCGCATGTGGATAGAAAAACTCACTCGCCTGGACACCGATGAAGAAAGCAAGCAGCAACTGGAGTCCAGGGAACCTAAAGTCCCCTTAGATGGCCAAAGAATCTCCTCAACTCCTCAGGCAGGGATTTTTATGCAGGTGCCGCCGGATAGCCAAGTCCTTCCGCAGCAGCAGCCCTTTAACTCTTACGCCGGCTGTCAAAATACCGATATGGCTTTAGAGGTTCCAGAGACTTTGAATAACAATTTTCCAGCTCTCTTCCCTGAAAACGGGAATATCATGGAATCCAGCTTGAACCCATCACAAACTTAACAAGATCCTCAAGCGGCTATGGTTAACCCAGATCTTGACTGGAAAATCTGACCGTTGTAAAAACAAATAACACATTTTGGTTCCTCCTTTTAGGCTTTTTAAACAACGTTTATTTTTCTTGTCACCTTCTTGAGAAAAGAGATGTCATTTGGTTTTGCCATTGAGATGCTCTTCCTGGCTTTCCATCAACAGAGCTTACCAGTTAGCGGGCTTATTTTGTGGATCTTACTTGTAGGATCAATCAGTGTATTCCTTAACTGCTCCTTTTGCATGCCAGAATTGTTTATTTGTATATATATATAGATATATATAAAAAGATTTGAAATTGAAAGACTCATATACCAAATCAGTATGTCCTGTAAATATTTTCTTAAAACAAATGCTAGCATCTATATTGTGCATCTTAAACAGAATTCTAATACTGCTTGCCATGTTTATTTCCTCCATCACTTAGGGCAGAAATTGGCTGATTTGTGAATTGGAAAGTTTTCGATAAACCATTCATCTTCTCATTCGCTTTCATGCAAGTTTTTGCATTCACAGTATTTATATTTAGAGGAATCTTTCGTTTTGTAAAAACGTACTAATCCTAACGGCCAGAGGAATTTGAGAGAGAAAAATAATAGATCTATCTCTCCAAGGGTTAAATTAATTTGGGAACATTGAACGAGATTAAGTGAACATTTAGAAGCATGCATAAGAATTTATACCACCTGCCAAAACAGTAATTGTCGGTGTGGGTGTGTTTCATACAATCAAATTGTAATGTTATGCTATCAATTCTGGACTATATTGTGAAATAATAGTGGGATTAAGTCTTGAAATTTGGCCATTTGTAAATTACAAATTGAAAGATGTTGTCATTTGCAGCCCATAAAATGCTATCAGGCACTCATGAAAGAATTCATAGCACGATCATTTTGATTGCTCTTCTTTTAGTCAGCATCTCTTGTGCTGCATATAAGTTCTTTCCCTGCTTTTCTAACCTTGATGCCAAATGACAGTTTTAAAGATTCAAGCATTAACAAATATTCTCCTCCTCCTCCTATTGTCTGGTTTATGATTGACACCCTTGTTTTCCTGATACCTGCATTGGGTTCCTTGTTGGTTCAGATAATGGCAAAAACTTGGACTCTTAAAACCCACTGAGGCTACGTTTTGAGGGACACTTCTATCTATACATTTAAGGCAGGGGTCTCCAAACTTGGCAGCTTTAAGACTTGTGGACTTCAACTCCCAGAATTCCCCAGCCAGCATGGCTGACTGACTGGGGAATTCTAGAAGTTGAAGCCTACAAGCTGCTAAGTTTGGACACCCCTGATTTAAGGGATGAAAACTCTTCTGTGCCCTGAGGCATCCCTGCTTCCAGAAGATGTACCTCTGAAAGTATATGGTAAGATTTTGTTTCGTTTTCCAAAAATTCGTTGTTTTCAGTATATTCTTTCTTTCTTATCCCATCTCCTTGACCCTAAAAAGAAAAATCCACGTTTTCCTGAACATTACAAGTAAATGTGGAAATGGTGTGTATGGACACATAATAAGATCTTGAGTAAGTGGGTTTTGCTGCATGGCTTTCTGGATTGCTGCTCTTTTTTCCATGTCTTTATTTTTTATTTTTAGGAACATTTTTCTAAGCTCTTGTTCACTAAACATTCTTCCTAGCGGTGTTGGTTGGGAATACCCATTCGGTGTTCAGTTATTGTAATTCTTTTCAGTTTAAAATTTTCTTCATGCCTGGGATAGGCTATTGAGTAAACATCCCTTACAAGTTAGATTTGGTCCCAAAGAAGTCAAAAGTTCTGATGGTTCCTATTTGGGTTTTCGCTAAAAATTAAAAATGTGTGTAGCCCAATCTGGTTAAATTTATGCCCGACTGATTCCTCACTCCACAGTTAATGAGATCTTGAATATGTTTACTCAGAAGTAAATCCCACACAGGTCACTGCAGCTTTTTCTTGGTTTAGGATTGCAACCTAAATTTTCAATTGTAAAAATTGATGGGGAATTAACAAATTGTTTGTTTGAGTATGAGGATGCTGTGTGTTTTTCTCGAGGCTGCTCCTACCACATGGAAAGCAGTCTGTGAAAGGGAAAAAGCCCTTTGAATGTAGTTTGTGAAAAGGCATGCAGTGAAATGATAAGCATTCAAAAACTCAAAAAGATCTATCAAGATCGTGATATTTAAAGCAATACCTTGGATGCCTGTACTTTATAGATATCTTCAGTTATTGCTCATTGATCCATCTTGTTAATTTTATCTGTGAATGTTTTTTAAAGAAAAGGGATTTTTTTTTAAAAAAAATTAAAAATATGTAAACCGGTTTCCTACCCTCTCCTCCACATAATTTATCTTAGGAGAAATAAAGCAGCTTTTTAAAAGCTACATTGTTCAGGGTATCTGTTCAAAAGGCTATGCAGGAAATAATATGTAAAACAAATGTGAATGGTTTCTAAAATAAGTTTGGTGTTAATAGTTTTCCATGTATCATATTGATATGGATGTGAATTTGATACCTTCCTAAACCTTAAAAATGTGTACATTTAACTGGTTTTAAACAGTAGGGAATCTCTTTAGTATCTTGACAAGTTGGTTTTGGTTTTTGTTTTGCCTTGAATAAAGCATAAATTTGCCATTCTTTTACAAATTAAGAATGTGTAGTGTTTATTGTATTGTAGTTACTTTGTTTTGCTCTTGAGATAACAGGTAAGAATTTAGGATTATGTTCCGAGGAGGCTGCCAGCTTTATAAGTCTTCCCAAGCACTCAGAGACCTTGGTTCAATACCATTTTCTTGCTTTAGTCATGTTCTGAAACAATTACAGGAGTATAAGAAATCAGATATGGTTTATTGGTAGATTTTTCCCAATATATTATTTGTGGATTGGATTCTAAACTAACATATGAAGCAGCTCTTGACATAATCTTTCCAACTCTCACCCTCTGAAAATCATTGCAAAAAATAAACTTAGAATGTAAAGGTGATTTAAAGGTCATATTTGTTTTCCACAAAACCTCTGTAGCATTCCTGTTGGTGCCAGTGAACTGGATTTTGTTAAAATGCTGCTATACAAAGACACAAGTAGTCCTCAACATACAACTGTTCATTTAGTGACCGTTCAAAGTTAGCACTGAAAAAAGTGACTTATGACCATTTTTTCATACTTATGGCCACTGCAGCTGCCTCATGGTCATGTGATCAAAATTCAGATGCTTGGCAACTGACTCATATTTAGGATGGTTGCAGTGTCCCCGGGTCATGTGATCATCTTTTGAGACCTTCTGACAAGCAGAGTCAATGGTGAAACCAGACTTACTTCACAACCGTGTTACTAATTTAACAATGGCATTGATTCACTTAACAACTGTGGCAAGAAAGATCGTAACATGGGGGCAAAACTCACTTAACAAATGTCTCGCTTAGCAACATAAATTTTGGGCTCAATTATGGTCATATATAGGGGACTACATATAGCCTGACAGTCAAGAGTAAGGATATTGTTACTGTTTAAATCATGGTTTAGCAAAGATCAGCTATGAAAAAGTGGAAGTGTCACTTCCATTAATCTCAGTTATGGGTAATGACTTCAGGTTTCAGTACAATAAGAGCCATGATTACAACTAACTGTATTTGAAGTCATAACAGCCATGGTTATAACCAACCATATTTGAAGCAAAGTGCTGGGGGTGGGGGGGCAGAGAAGTTGAAGACACCAATAAACTATATCTTGATTTCAGCTAATTGCATTAGCAATCTAAAATTTGATTCAGATGCAGATTAATACATGAAACTACCATTTGCTATCAGCAAGTAATTCTTTTTATCGGTCCCTTCATGTGTTTGTCTCTAAGATTTTATGAACATAAAAAAATACAATAATGAATGGGGTGCAGAAGGAGGAACCTACCCAGGTGATGAATTAGAAACAAACAAGTAGCTGGCAAGTTTGGCTCCAAATAACTTGAAATCTTATTTCTAAAGGAGTGTATATTTTCTTTACAGTCATTTCCCCCCCTACTTTCAGAACTTTTGCTTATTTTCACCAATTTTCACCAATTGTTAGTGAATCTGATACCTTATATGCTCAGACTCTCCTTATATGCTTTAGCTCTGGCTAAATGCAGAAAATGTCAAATTGCAAATGATGAGGTGTCAAAGATTTTGGGTTCATATTGGATATACCCAAATAGTATTGCAGTTACTAGTAATACTATTTGCTGTCACCGCAGTATTCCTTCAGTATCGCAGTGCCAATTTACCCAACTCTTAAATTTACTCTTCTTCCCCTTTATCTCCTCCTGCAAATTCCTCTTTGTGCTTTTGTTGTGGGAGCTGTTTTGTATCTTTCCCTTGAGCAGCCTCAGAAGATCAAGATCATGAATGAAGACCTGGAAACCATCCCCCTTCCCCATATGATAAAATGGAGTCCCATCCAGAGTTTTCTTCCTGTTGTCTGTCACTACCAAATAGTTTTTACATTACTCCGCTTTTACAATGAAATTGAATTCAGTGGCGGCTTACTTCTGAGTAAGTATAAGGTTGCCCTGTAAGCCACAAGTCAAGAACAACATGGAGATGCTATTCAGGTTACATATCCTACTTGGTTTGTAGTAACCCAGGAAGATTTATTTCATTGAGTTGGGTTTGTAGACAATGTATTGTCTCTGTCATTATTGTTTTGTGTGCATCCAGCCAGAGGGGACTTAAGTAACTGGAAGAGAGCATCCTGCATGGTTCATTCCATTACCACTTGCCCGGTCCTGTCAGAGGTAGGACTTTTCTAGGAAGCAAGTCCGGTTTATGATGATTAATTGGAAGTGTCAGTAGCCCAGTAAGAAATGCGATCCCAAAAAAGAATTGGAACCCGGGTCTTATCCTATTGAGAAGTGTTTTTCTTATTGCCTTGGCTCCCATACTTAATTAATTGCTTTAACTTTGATTTGCTAGTGAGTTACAGTGACTGATCACATGTCACACAAAGCTGCAATTCAGAGTAATTTTGGCTTTGTATCATTGCCGCGGTGGCGCAACGGTTAGAATGCAGTATTGCAGGCTTCTTCTGCTGACTGCCGGCTGCCAGCAATTTGGCAGATCGAATCTCACCAGGCTCAAGGTTGACTCAGCCTTCCATCCTTCCAAGGTGGGTAAAATGAGGACCCAGATTGTTGAGGGCAATAGGCTGACTCTGTAAACTACTTAGAGAGGGCTGTAAAGCATTGTGAAGCGGTATAAGTGCTATTGCATGAAACTTGACATAATTTGTAAGCTATGGCTTAGCGCAATGTATGAACAAATCCAACTGTCCTCCTCAGGAAACTATCATACAGTTTATGTACTAAGACAGTGGTTGGGTTCATACATCACACTAAGCCATTTCATGCAAGGGACACGGTGGCTCATTGGCTAAGACGCTGAGCTTGTCAATCGAAAGGTCAGCAGTTCAGCGGTTCGAATCCCTAGTGCCGCTAGGTGAGCTCTTGTTACTTGTCTCAGCTTCTGCCAACCTAGCAGTTCGAAAGCACGTAAAAAATGCAAGTAGAAAAATAGGGACCATCTTTGGTGGGAAGGTAACAGTGTTCTGTGCGCCTTTGGCATTTAGTCATGCCGGCCACATGACCATGGAGACGTCTTCGGACAGCACTGACTCTTCGGCTTTGAAACAGAGATGAGCACCTCCCCCTAGTGTCGGGAACGACTAGCACATATGTGCGAGGGGGACCTTTACCTTTACCTAAATTACAGTAGCTGGGATGAACAGATTTCTGTGGTCCCCCAAAGAAGTTAAACTATGGTTTATTTTAAATATGCTTGGTTACTTAAAGCAAGCTTTGTTGAAGTAATACGATATGGTAAGCCATAAATCACAGTTTATTAAAGACGGCGTAAGCTACTGTACTAAATTTAAAGGGGGGAAAATCACATGGTTTAGTTCAGGTCTCAGATTTAGCTACTGGCTTATTGTCCTCTCCTGACACTTTTCTGCTTTTGCGTGCTGAGTATAGTTCACAGCAAAAGATCTTTTTGAGGTGATGGGTCAAAGTCCCATGGTCCCCAGCTACTTAAGGTCAAAACTTGCCTATTTATTATGGCTCCATAATTTTGACATTCAGCATTATTAAAAACATAGACCACTGATGGCAGAAAAAGACCTAGTGTTCCATCAAGTCTGTCCTTTGAGGGGTTTTTTTCCCACTTAATTTTTTTAGTTTTATTTACTGCTTTTATATTTTATATTTATTTTATTTTAAATTTTGGCCAGGTGATGGACATGTGTTTATCTCAAGCTTGTTTGAACCCAGTTACTGATTATTGGTCCACTACCTCCTTTGGAAGTTGGTACCAGGCTTATTTCTGTCAATGCTAACGTGAAATAGTTGGGGTGTTGTTTTGAAAATGTTTCTGAAAAGTAGCATCATATTGGTTAGAATTATCGTACATCCATTTTAAATATTTGGATTGAAATCATAAAATTGACAGACTTATTTCTTCTGAATGACAGGTTAATAAACGTAAATATATGTGAGCCCTTCAGGAAAAATGTATTGTTTCTGCTTGTCTCAATTATGTCATCCTAATAATTTTTATTTGTCGTTTAAAAAAAAAAATATCTGAACAAACGTGAACACGAAGAGTTGTGAAATCTCGAGTTCTATCTGACAGAGGCCTCCAGATAAAATATTTCCCAGTTCCTAATCATGTTATGCGAGGTGCCCACTTCAGACTCAGAGGCTCCCTTTCCTCCCATCACTGTCTTTTCCCAATATTTAATATTTTTCTCAATATTTAATATTTCTCAAAACTCAATATTTTATATTTTTCATGGATTTGTGTTACCAGTGTGCCAAAGGTAAGGCTAACGATAACTGCAGTTTCAAAGCAAATATAACAGCTAACCATAATTTAAGTTTAATGCAGTGCAAAGTTTCCTTCAAAAAAAAAATAGGAAGTAGTGGAGAGCACAGATTTCCGGAAGCATCAACCTGGAATCTAATATCTGAAATAAACACAATCCTCAAGGTTACCCATTGTCTCTCTCTCAAATATCAGGACATTAACATGCACAGTGAAATAGGCAGCAAATGCATTTAACAAATAAATAATAAATTACTGTTTTAAAAAACCTGGTAATTTATGAAAATGCATTTTTATTTTAACCTTTGCTAGGCAGCTTCTCCTGTAACTTTTGCTTTGTATCATCATTGCTTTCATTGGTTGTTCACAAAGGTGGTTACGAAAGCAAGCGGTCATTTCCATTAAGTTTCCATGTCGGTGGTGTGCGACTGTGGGGCGCGCTGCTCATCTCCGTTTCTTGGCGGAGAGAGCCAGCATTGTCTGAAGAAAATTTCTGTAGTCATGTGGCCAGCATGGCTATACACGTAGTCCTCAATTTACGACCGCAATTGAGGCCAAAATTTTAGAACAGAATAACAGAGTTGGAAGGGACCTTGGAGCAGGGGTGAAATGCTACCGTTTCAGGCCGGTTCGCCTGAACTGGTACTAACAAGTGTGACTGGTTCGCCAAACTGGTAATAAAAATGCTTTAAAAAGTTTTTTAAAAAAGTTCTGACAGTGACGCGGCACAGCTGATTGTCTGAACTTTTTTAAAACTTCAGGCAGTAGGTAGTAAAAAAATGCTTTAAAAAGTCAAAAAAAA